CCCCTTCAGGTATGGGCGACGGCCTGCTCACGCCTGCCCCTTCAGGTATGGGCGACGGCCTGCTCACGCCTGCCCCTTCAGGTATGGGCGACGGCCTGCTCACGCCTGCCCCCTCTGGGGGAGCCACCGGCTGGACCTGCTGCTGCACTGAATCCTGCACTCCTGTTCTTCAACATCTGCTTCTGAATGCACAATCGGTGAATAGAATGTGATGGAAAACAGGTCTTACATCTGTTTCTCGGTAGATAAATACACTCCCATAGACCTGTCCACTTCCACAAGACATATAAACTTAAAAAAACTCATCAACTCCTGCATATTCTTCAATGTGAAATTAGTCTATTAAGTAATATTATGTAATGTTGCTCTGCTGCAGTGCCCTGTCCTTCACCTCTATCACCAACGGATTTAAAGATTACATGGCATTACATCACTTTCCTAAGCAAAGATACCAGAATCGGCCTCAGTACAAGTGTATGTAACATATTTATTTTTTAAGGTTTACTGTAGTAAAATTCAAAATATGTTAATGGGGCAACAGAATGCCTCACACCTTAAGGGCTGAGGGTTGAGGCCCCTGTCCATTCTGTGTGTGGGCTTTGCATGTGCTCCTCATGTCATGTGGGTTTGAGGCCCCTGTCCATTCTGTGTGTAGTTTGCATGTGCTCCTCATGTCATGTGGGTTTGAGGCCCCTGTCCATTCTGTGTGTAGTTTGCATGTGCTCCCCATTACATGTTGGTTTGAGTCCCCCCCTCCTCTATGTCTGTGTGCACTTTGTATGTCCTTCCCTTGACGTATAGGTCTGGCATTCCATCCAGGGTGTACCCCAGCCCTGTGCCCTGTGATGTACTGGCATCCTGTCCAGGGTGTACCCCAGCCCCATGCCCAGCGATGGACTGCCATCCCGTCCAGGGTGTACCCCAGCCCTGTGCCCTGTGATGGACTGGCATCCCATCCAGGGTGTACCCCAGCCCCATACCCAGCGATGGACTGGCATCCCGTCCAGGGTGTACCCCAGCCCTGTGGCCTGTGATGGACTGGCATCCCATCCAGGGTGTACCCCAGCCCTGTGCCCTGTGATGTACTGGCATCTTGAACAAGACATGACATTGAATGATGAATGCATGGAAAAATAATGGAAAAATGAGTAATAGCATAAATGTTAATATAAGAATGGTAGATAGATACATACATACACACATACATACATACATACATACTTCATTGTTTCCTGTGGGAAAGTGAATGTGCAGGCAGGAACCCCAGCACCACAATCAGAAAGAGAAGCCAAGGGAGTACACACTCAGCACAAGTGCAATTCCTTTAAATCAACAAAAATGTCAGTCAGCTGTTACGCGGAATATGTGGGAGTGTTAACACATTACCTATAGTACACACACACACAGCCACACACACACGACACAGAAACACACATACAGCCAAACACACACACACAGCCACACACACACGACACACAAACACACACACACAG